AGATCTTAAAAAGCTGTCTGTGACTGTGAAACAGTCTGAAACTGTTGTTAACGCTTAAGTTATCTATGCTACAAAGATTTGCTTTTAATTTTCTGAATTAGAAACTACTGGGGGGAAAAAAAAGGAAGAGGATATGGTTATGTGTAATGGTGCTGGAATAGTTCCAATCCCCTCATGATGATATTAAGAGACCTCTACTCCCAGTCAAATGAAATTACAGCTGGGTAAAGGAAATTTTTTTTTTTCTATACCATAGTGAAGCTGAGTACTGGTAAGATTTTTCTGTTTTGTCTTTTTAATAAGCTGTTGTCTTGGACATAAAGAGCACATCACCTATGGTAGGTGAAGATTGGGGGTTTCTTTAGGCATTTAGCATCTGTTGTGAGACTCTCTGGAAGCACACAATATAAGGGTGTTGTGTTTAAGGGCAAGTGACCTAGCATCACTTAAACAACTTGCCTTGTTCTTTAATGTGCACATTTCCTTCTGAGTTCATAGCCCGGTTTAGAGAGGAATAAACAACAGAAGGTTAGCCATATCAATGGTGGGTTTTAGAGGTTCATCGGGGGATATTCTATAGATAACAATGAAATGTGGATATAGTTCCATTTCTAATAGGGTACTCTGTGATAACACTGAGTGTCTGTTCATAACCTGATACCAGTGGTGCTTTTAATATGATCTCTTTTGTATGGCTGGGACGTGCCAGATTTTCCAGCAGGCTAAGCTCTGTGTAACTGTTCTGCTGTGTTTCTCATAATGTATGTAATGAAAGTCAGATATTTTTTAAAAAAGACTAATCGTTGTAATCAGTTACTCTGTATTTGAACGTCTCTGCCAATTCACAAACATTTATAGCAGACTTAATTTTAGAATGCTAATTTCAACAAACAAAGTTCTCTTTTTTTTAAATTTTTTTTTAACTAACCAACCAAAAAAAAAATTGTTTAAAAAAACTCACAGTATATTATGAGTCCTGAGTTAGCTTTCTTTTGGACATGCAAGTACCTGATACTGGCAAGTCTATAAAATTATCAGAAAATGGAGTAGGAAACGATGCTTAGTGTTCAGGAGCTTGATATTGTTGCATTTTGAGGAGGAATAATATCCAAAATGACTCAAACTTTTGCCTTTTATTTCTGCTGTGTTTGTAGATTTCAGAAGAGCTTCATGTATGGACTTCAAGTCCTGGGGGCAGCAGAAGATAAGGGGAAGTGCTGCCTTCTGGTGTTATTGTCTGTGTATGCTGGGGTAGCTGGCGTTGTCTGGGACGTTTTGAGGGAGACCTAGCAGAGTTTAGTGGGTATTGTCAGGCAGTGACACCGATGAACTGTGTAGCATTCAGGCCCCTTTTTGAAAATTGAGATTATAAGGACTTTTTGAAACAAAAGATTGAGAAATGCAGTACGAAATGTAGCATATTGTTTCCATTCTGAAAAGTGTTTTCCTTGTTTGTACCTGGATCAGCCTTGGAGATTCTCTTTTCAGTCTAGTTCTTCTTATATTGCAGAGCAAAGACAGTCCTGTTTGGTGTAGGTTTGTTGCCTTGCTCTCACTGCCCAAGTTTACTTCTAGATGTTCTAGTCAAGATGCAAGCTCAACTTTTAAAGACTGTACAGTCATTGCCTGCTGGGAAGGTTGGCTTCCCACCCTGCCACTAGGAGGATAGTCCAGTCCCAGGTTCGAGCAGATGAGGTGACACATGTGTCTGGTCTTTCTGCATGAGAAGTCCTCTCCTGTGCCGTACACTCGTGTACTCATCTGTTTGCAACAACAAGAAGGTTCCCGCCAAACCTCCGAGGGATGCATCAGCTATGTGGTCCACAGACATTACTGAAATGGTAAACTTTTCACTGTAGTGGAATGAGGTAAAAGCCTGCTGGTTTCATCCACTCTTTTCATGGCCAAAACCAGCCAAATGTAGCTCAGCTATCCATGTCATATTAAACTTGTCCAGGACTGGGCTGTAGGAACAACCTGTAGGTGCTGTGGAGTTTTTTAGCAGAGCAGCAGACAGTTGCCCTTGAAGGTGAAGAAAGACGAACCTTTTAAAGGACTGATGTGGTCATAGATTTCTTTCAAATTTCTGCTTGCTATCCTTACTGTTTCATGTTTTGAGTTCCTTACATAGCTCTCAAAATGAACTAATATATATGCATTGAAATTCAGCATGTATACTGTTCTCTAGAAATAAATTAAGATCAACCTGTAGATTCCCAGCTTCTGTCATTTGTGGCTGGTTGCTGCATCAATGGGAAGGAGCTGGCTGAGCTGCTGACTGGATAAGGCTTGATAGGGTTTGAGGATAATTATAAAAGAAAATTACTTTCCTAGTCTGTTAAAGAACAAGCACCCTAGTGACACCATGCGTGGATTTTTTTATCTTTTAATTCTTTTGGGTTAGTGGCTATTTCTATATGCATAAAAACACTAAAGCATAAGAACTCATCACATTTTGGCAAGGATTAGGTCCCTTTTTCCAGTCAGTCATAGACACTTTTACTGGTACTGTTACCTTTTTAAAGGGCTATGGCCATGTGCTATGCATAGAGTGAAATCTGTGAGCAGCTTGCATAAGGTAACCGGTGCTGAGTGTGATTGATTTAGTGGCTTTGCCCCCGTGTTCCAGATACCATGGAGGTTTTTTCTGTTAGATTCTAGGTATGTTTCAGTGTCATGGTTTTGCCTTATCTTGGGGGGGGGGGAAGTTTGTAGCTCTTGTTGATGATCTCCTGCTGAGTGTTTAATTGCTGCCCTACAGCATAAAGTTAATGTGATTAGAGCATAACAAGTTATCTGTACGGGTGTTGTGTTTTGGGCAGTACTGTGTTTGAAGGACACCAGACTCCATAGTGTTCCCAGGCTTTGTCTTACAAAGTCACAAATGTTTAAATTCCATTAGTGTTGCTTACAAGGGTGAATTGTTGTTGTTTTCTATTAGGTTTTTCTAGCTTGGTCTTGGAATGTTTTTATGGTGCACTTCATTTGTTTAAGAAAATGTGCGCTTTAATTATTATTTAATTATTTTTATTTATGATATTGTGCACTTAAATTAAGAAAGTGATTATTAGTATATACTGTAATGTTAATATCTGTATTAACTGATGGGATAGTCACAGTTGTAGTTTCAGTATGAATTGCAGTCTTTCAAGCCAGTTCCTTGATGTGGATAATTAATTCTGAAGTTGGAATAGATGTTAATTATGTGAATTCAGGAGGGACCATCATTAAAAGTTTAAAAATTTGAATAATAGGGGTAAAACAATTTGAACCGTGCACTATTTTTAAATCCTGCTATTTTTTTTTCTTATGGTCTTGAGCAAGTTGTTTCTAGTTTTCCATTGGCTTGTTTCTAAAGTAGTTTCTCACATGATGGGAGCACTCTGAAGTACAATTGCAATAATTAAGACAGTTTAACTCCTTTGAAGTGTTTTAATTATTCTAAGTCTTCTGAACTGCACCCTTCTAAAGTAAATTGGGTACTTTTTATTCTTTCCAAAACATTTGGAAAATGGAAACTGAAAGCGTTATCCAGAAGAAGTAGTAAACATATTTTCACCTTCTGCATTGAATACTGCAATTGGACATAAACCATCTGAATACAATTTTGTGGGGAAAGAGGACAGAATTTTCTTTTGCACTGTACAAATTAATGTTAATATTAACCTTAAGGACTTACAGAACAGGATATTTATTGGTGAAGGAAAAAAGCTGCCTTATACCAGTATGGATTTTTGAGAGAGGTGTTGGGAATGATTGCTGGTAGGTGTGAGGAGCCTTGTGTACGGATGCTGCCATCTAACATACTGATTCAGGAAGATTTGAGGACAGGGGTATTTCATCAGTTCCATTTTTGTAAAAAGTTAATCCCTATTAAAATAACACAAATTGTAAAGCTTCTGGAGCTAGAAACAATGTTCATTTTAATCTTTGCCCTGAGTTTTGGATAAGGGAACTTGGAGGGTGGAGAGACCTTGTGGAGGTATGCCCTGGTACCTGTTCTGTCAGGCCAATTTTTCTGCATCAGTTTTGAAAAGCTTTACTAAAATTGTTGAGTCGCAGCCTCTTGAAGAATAGAGTTCCTTTTCAGTTATGTCATGTTTTTCACTGAGATACAGTGAGCGCGCCGCCACGCCACCGTTAGCCTGGGGTGCTTGGTTAAACCTTGGGCTGTGCCGCTTGCTCCCTGCCCTCAGACAAACCCCCCCACAGCAGGGCCTTCAAGTTAGTTGCCCTGCTCCCAAGCCAGTGTTTCTGTGGACCAGATGAAAATGATTTCAAAGATTTTGCTTCTGCTTGGCTTATCCCTAGCATGGGTACCTTTTGCCTCATACCAGAGCTGTGTAGTTTGTTGTTCAGGTTTGTTTTTTAAACTTAATCACACTTGCTCTGCTCTCTAGTGAAAAATGTACTGATACAGGATCTGTCAGAAATGGATTTATGAAAACTTCCCTGTTGTATAATTCTGTAAAAGTTCTTGAAAGGTGTTCAAAGTTCACTAGAGTTTTTCTGTATATTCAACACGAAGTAGAAATACAAAACTCTTGAGGCAGAGGGAACAAAGAGTATAGGTCTTCAGGGTGTTGAACAGCTTACTTAACTGTCGCACACACCATTCGACATTATTCATTGAATTCTTACAAGTGGGGAACTAGCTAATAAAGTACCTATTTTTTTTTTCTTTGGCTATTTAATACCATTTTATTTTGAGTAACCAGAATTTTCATCAGATTGGCTGACTTGGTATTGAATTTTTAAACCTATTTCTTTCTCAAATTATCTTGAGATGACTATTAAATGGGAAATATTACTAGTTAAAATACCATTTGTTGGAGATCTTTTGGAAAGTGCTTTAAACAGCAGTGTGATTTATGCATAAAACCAGATTGACTTTTCAGCTCCGTGATCCATACCAAATGAAAATAAACCATTATACCTGTATTGATTGGTGTGATATAAGTCAGAGCTAAAAATATTCCTCTCTGTTTTCTTTTTTGTATACAGAAAAGATGAAAAGGAGTATGCACTGAAGCAAATTGAAGGTACAGGGATATCCATGTCGGCCTGTAGAGAGATTGCAGTAAGTGTACATAAACGAAAGTATTTACTGACAACAGATATTTTATTTTCTCTGAATTAAATAACACAAAGTTGATCTAAATGTTTTCCTTAAAGTATGCAAGCATGAAAGTTATTCAAGCGTAAGATTTTCTTAAAATGCTTTCTAAATTACACTTTTTTTTTGAGTGGAAAAAGGTGTTCTAGCTAGGTAATGGTAATGCCTCTTTCTAATATAGTTTTGTTTTATCTGCTTTTATGTGTTGGGAGGGTAATATACATGAACCTTTTAATGAAGATTTATTTTAAAACTGGGTGTTTTTAAAATGACTTGAAGGAAAAAGGTTCTGAAAGATTACAACTGTCATTAGAAGTCCACCTGCTAATAATGCATTTTGTTTCAGACAAATGGTAGCTTACCCTTCTTTAGCACCTGAGAACAATTTGTTCTCCTCATTCCTTATTTGCTTTGCTAAGTACAGAGGAATTTCATAGCAAAATAAGCAGCTTTAATTGTATTTTTATTACATGTATCTTGGGAAAAAAATGGATTCAGAAACTGCACGCTCTTGAGCACAGTAGTGCCCATACATATGTGTGTGTGTATATCTCATTCTTTCGAAGTTGATAGGAATTAGGTGTTTGTATGTGAAGATAGATTTTGATCTTTAAATATTTGTTTTATGACGGAAAATGTGCATTACTGTTAAAGTGCTGAATAGTGAGTAAAATTTTGTAATGCAAGGATTTCTTGCATTGCAAAAGTAGTGCACTTACTTGATTAAATATTTACCTTGTTTGAATGCTGTCACTATGCTGAGGGCTGTTGAAATGTGTGATAGGATTTGTGCCTGGAGCTTTATATAATCTAGGAGTGTTGCATTGAAATACAGCAATCAGGTGTGCAATGCAGTGTGAGGCATTAGAAACTCGTGATGATTATGAATTGAACAAACTGCTGTATTGTGTTTAGTGTAGTGCTCACGGTAATTCTGCATGAGGAGACTTAGCAGATAAAACTACTATCCTTTTAAAGTGCTTGTCACTCTAAGGTCAAGGTCACTTGTGGATTTGAGAGGTGGCTGCATTGCTGTCAGTCACTTTACACGGAATCTACCCCGAGACCTTTTTGCTCATATTTCTGCCTTTGGAGGAAATAATAAGTCCTCTTTTAATGTTAGTAATAGGCTATATTTTTGTTACTATAAAGTCTGTTTTGACAGCAGTGAGGTTTTTTGATTGTTTCTTTCTTTGATTCTTGTCTGTCTTTTTGTCTGTTTTAAATTGTATTACTCTGGAGATGATGTGTGGAAAAGTCCAAAGGAGACTTTCCTGTGGTCATGATAGCAGTGTGGTATGGAGTTGATTTGGTCATACCTGGGTACAACATCATGAGGAAGTAGAGAGTGTACCTTATCCAAGTAGCTTTCTAAGAATGACAGATGGAGACAAAAGAAAAAAGACCACAAGGGTATTATTTATTAGGTCTGTTTTTTCCTGTGAAGTGTCTTGGCCATCATCTGTTAAGAATCAATAGGTGTAACTTCAAAAGTCTGCAAACAAATGGAATTTTGTGTTTATCAAAAAAGCACCAGGGTTATACAGCTTTATCTGAGATTTCTTGTCCCAAAGGCTTTACTTCCTGTGAGAGGATTATGCTGGCTACTTCCAGTATTTTGCTTTCCACAGCAAAGAGACTATAAACTTCTAATTCTGGATTTTGGGAAAAACTAATTCAGAGAAAAGAAAAATATAAGCCTTTTCTTAATCAGTGCCCTTCAGTGGCTACTTTCAAAATATCTGGATATGTAGCTTGTCTCTGAGCGTGGAAGAACTTCAGAGCAATTGTTTGTGATAGATAAGGTTTGCTAATGGTGTGAGAAAAGTACAGTCTTGTTGTGAGTATTAATAAAAGGAGGGTAGGAGAAAGCAGTAAAATGTCTTTGCTTGAATCTAATGGTTCTTTTTTTTTTTTTTTTTATTCAGAGAAGGAGATTAGTTTGGTGACAGTGGATATTAGGTTAATGCTGCTGGACCCCAAACTGTTTGTAACTATCTCCATCGGACCCCATTTTAGTGGCTAAGCCACGTCCAAAATTTGGGGTTGTCTGTTGCTTTTTACATGAGGAATTGTAGAAACCAAAAGCTGAATGGGAAGGAATTAAGAGGTGGAAAACACTCTTCTCAATGGTGCCCAGGGACAGGACAAGAGGCAATGGGCACCCATTAAAATACATGAAATACCATCTGAATGTGAAAAGATGCTTCTTTACTGTGAGAGTGACTGAGCACTGGAACAGGCTGCCCAGAGAGGTTGTGAAGTCTCCATATGCAGAAATGCTTAGAGCTCAACTCGACACAGTCGTGGGCAGCCTGCTCTACTTGACCTTGCTTGAGCAGGGAGGTTGGGCTAGATCTCAAGAGGTCCCTTCCAACCTGAAAGATTCTGTAAAACAATTTTAGTATTTCTGTCCATTTAGTAGAAATAGAGCCATGTCTTTCAGATATATTTCTAATAAGCAGATAAGCATTTTGTACTAATAAAATAGTATGGTTACACACTACTTGGCAGTGAAATACAATGAAGAAACATTGGTTTGGTAAGTTCCAGTAAAAGATGCAAGTCCTTCTTGTATCCTGAGTTGCTCTTCTGAGCTTCCTGACTGGTCACTGAAATTAGGTATCTAACACAAAGTTCTTGGCAAATTTTTGGGTCTGAGCTTTATTCCCTAGTTCCCTAGTTTTTGGGTCTCTGTCACCAAAACACACATTTAATTTAGTGCTTGTAACAGACCCCTGTTATGAGTTGCACATATTTAAAAAAAAAGTTCAGTTTTCCTCTGAAAGTCAGATGTTTTTAGTTTATTCTGGCTGTTCTCTTACTGAGACAGTTCCATGTAAGTATATTAAATACAGTAGTAAAAATGTCCTGGAAACCAACAAAGTACTTCTAACAGTCACTTGTACTTCAGTGAATACAGTCTTGCTCTGAAATTCTTCTTAACTCAAAAGAGGATAGTTTAAGAATGTTGTCTTATAATTTTTTTCCCCTAAAGCACAGCCTGTAGACAAAGATGACTCCTACTAAAGGTTTCATGTGAACCAGTGACTTGAGTTAGGTCCTAGGAGGCTCTTCTGTCAACTCTGGGTCCTTTCCAGCTTTTCTCTCCACCCCTAACACTTGAGAACTTCCCCCTTCCAAGGATAAATTGCCAACTCTAGCCATCTTCTATGTAAATAGTGATCTTTAATTCTAAACTTTATTGGATTTTTTTCTATATCAGTTTTTTTTATAGCTCAGTAGCCTTTTTTTTCTATGGGGGGGAAAAAGACTGGGCTGTTACAGATGATTTACATGGGAGGAGTAGAGCCGCAAACCAGCAGCATTTCTCTCCTAGCTTTGCTTATGAGTGCCCTGAATTGCTGCAGTTTTGCCGTGTGTGAACATTGGGGCTGGGATGCGTAACTGTGTTAGCTGCCACATCCTCTGCGTGCTAGTTGTCCTTCTGGGAGACCTTGACACATTGCCAGGACGCTGTGGGACACTAGTGGGAGCATTAGTTGTCCTTTGCGTTCATACTTGCATTTATGGGCACAGGCTAAAATAATTCAGACTATAATGTTGAGTTACTGAAAGTTCATTTGAACAATTTAATGTGCACAAATTATTTGCAGGCCTTTTGCCTATTGATGCAATGTATGTTACAAAGTGCTAGAGGGCACACGTATTTTGGCATCCTCAGTTTCTGAGGGTGGGCAAGGTTTTAGAAGCCTTGCAGGTTAAAGGGTAGGGTTTTGTAACCTTTTTGTGTTTGTCAGCTCTCTTGAGCAAGGCTCTGTCTCATGGTATTTATGTTCTTTTCTGCTTTCCTGCTGTCTGTGGCCTTCCATCGCATGTAGGCACCTCTTCTGGGGCTCTGTCTCCTCCTTTGCTTTGGGCTCTGTGGTGGTATGGTGCTGATGCTGAGCCAGGGAGGTCCAGCTAGACTTACTGTCTCCATCCTGAAGCACTGCATGCCTTTACCCTGTGCTTCTCAGCAGTGCCACTGGCAGCATGGCGCAGGGACATGCAAGGGGACACGTTGTGCCTTGCTGGTAGAGCTAGTAAAGCTTAGTTGCTTTTACCTCTGTTAGGTGCTGCATGTCGCTTACAAGGTGCCCTCACCTCCTGGTTGGAAACGGCTTAGTCAAATGAACTAAACATGAAGCTGTTTAATTGGAGACTATGGACCAGGCTGTTTGGCCTGTCTCTGTATCTCTTGGGAATGTAGAAAAGATCAGCTGTAGAAGACTAATGATAACTTCTCTGTATTAATGAATCACTTTGAAGATTTGTAATGCCATTGGCTCTCTTCAAGTACAATTACATAAAATTTCAGAGTAACTACAAGTCCTTTGCTTTGCCTATATTGACTCTTTCCTTGACTATCACAGCAGCTTGCGGTATTCACTGTTACATAGAGAAAGAGATTTCTAAATCTTGGTCCCTGGCTTTGTTTAAGGCAAAATTAGGTAAAACAAAGCTTTAAAAAGGTCTGTGTCCCTGAGTACATTTGCTGTAGGAGATTCCTTTTGAATGTCAGAACTTTTTTTCTCTTGCCAAGATAATATAAATGTGTGGAATATTTGGCAATGTAAAATCTCCCCATAAATTCTCTACTGCCTAATTAGAAAAGATTGTTAGATTTGTGTTTGTGGAAACTTTGAAACTCTACTCCCTCTTTCAATAGCTGGAGGTGGTGAAATAAGTAGTTAAAAAAAATGTTTTGAAGGGATTTTTATTAGTTAGGGCATGTGTTGGCTAGAAGTATCTGTGCATCGTGATTTTATAAGTATGAATCGGCTGAAAGGAGGTTTTTGGTTCAGCTACATGACAACTCATGTTTTGCATGCCATAAGAAGAATAAGAGCTCGCTGCATTACACGGCCTAATCTTGTATAATCTGTGTAATTTAAATGCTTTTTGTGTAAAAGAGTACTTAAATTCCTGCTTTGGTTATTCTTCAAAAGGGATCTGTGGAC